TTGAGGAACTCTTCTGAAAGCCCTCCATTTGCATCTTTACATTGATACATCCAGCGTCGGAGTTCGTATATATCCCCCATTTTTTTTTCAAAATTTTGTAAAAAAATTTTTTTTTTCGAATTTTTTTTTTAAAATTGGTGGACTGATTCAAGCGATGCGGGGGGTTGAGATATATAGGAGAATTTAGCAGCGATTTAGCAACGATTTTGCATCGAATATTTAKCATCGATTTAGCGTCGAATACCTTAGTGWCGATTTTGCATCGAATTAGCGTCGATTTTGCACCCAGGTAGGTAAACTCGTTTTTAATGAGTCTCCTACCTAACAATTTGAGGCAAATTCGACGCTATATTCGACGCTACGTATTCGATGCTAAATCGATGCTAATGTTGCATCGATTTAGCATCGAATTCAGGAATTTCGACGCTAATTCGATGCTAATGTTGCATCGATTTAGCGTCGAATTCAGGAATTTTGACGCTAATTCGATGCTAATTAGCGTCGAATTAATTCGACCCTAATTAGCGGCGAATTAGCGTCGAATATGTAGACTGACACAATTTCGACGCTATATTAGCGTCAAAAAAATTCCGACGCTAAATTTCGACGCTAATTTACAGTTTTCTTGTAGTGTCACTTCTTAATAAAACATCTTTTTTTAGTATCACAATCTTCAAGGATACAATTTATTACTCAAATATAAAAATGGAAGATTGCAAATATAAATTAAATCTTATAAGTTTGTGGTAATTGTAAGATTAATAACATATTTTTAAAAACATAAATTTAGATTTAATTAGTTGGTCATAAAACTAAATCAAGATTTTAATATTATACGTTTTATTGAAATAGTTTGTCATAAAACTAAATCAAGATTCTAGTTGGTCATTTTGGTTTAATTTTAATGGCAAGATTTTATATTAAAATTTCTGAATATTTTTTTAGGCAAGTTTATAATTATTCTTATATGTTGACAATTGAGATTAGAATAAACCAGATGATTCCCCGCGTAATACGTGGATAAAATATGTTTTAATTTTGAAGTATTAAACTAATTAGAAAACTATGTTTCATGGTCGTTCTTAATTTACTAAATAAGCTCTCTTCATATGTTATGTTTTTTTGTTGATTGTGTTCTTCCATTATTTTTTTATTTCTATTCTTTTGAGAAAAGCTAATAAAGATAATTAAAAACGAGCAAGATTACATATATATTTTTAAATCTATTTTTTTTTAATTATTAATTTTACTATTTGTGGTTAATTTTTTATTTATTAGTAGTTCCATTTGATAAATATTATTTTTATTAGTATTATGGGTTATGGCTTATGGATGGAGTATATAGATATCTTTTTAAAGAATTTCTATCAATTAACGTATAAAATTGTTTTTTTGCAATTCAATTTTTTCATAGTATTATTTTTTCTTGAAAACAATTTTGATCATAATACTGGTTTTTCTGAATTTGAATTATTTTTATTTATAATAAAATCACTTAATTGTGTTGATTAATGATAGGTTAATATTGTTTAAAAGAGAACACGTAAATATTTTTATGTCTGAATAAAATTCAATTATTTTTATTGTCAACAGGGTGTTTATTACTATTAGTGTAATTTTATAACATATTATTAATTGATTGAAAATGTAATAATCGAAAATGGCATTCAATAATTGAATTTTGAAATCTTAGTCGTTTCATCTTAAAATATTTTTTGTGGTCAAATATTTTTTAGATTTACATAAATTAAAGTAACTTAATTAACGTTGAAAGCTCATGAAGCTTAATTATCCGATTGAAGAGAAACATTATTGATTGTGGATTAATTTAATTAGTTATTAGTAGACCAAATTAGAGAGCATTTTGCCATATCATATTTTATACAATGTCATGTCATAATAAATTTGGGAGAATGATTATAGAGAAGACACCTAAACTTTTTTTCCAAAATCACTTCCCAATTAATGTATAAGGGATTATAATTAGTTATCTAGGATTAAATGTGTTTTGT